GATGTACTACTGGACCACTGGTACTCTGAGGCTCTGCAATAAAGTCCCAGGATCAGCAATGATCAGGGTCCCCCGAGCCTCAGACTTGATAGCTGGGAGAGGTACTGGTGGGACATGGCCACAGGTAGGTAATTCCCCAGCAACAACAAATAAATTAATATGATACATAATTGGCTAGCCAGATCCCACTACCCATGTATGTGGATTAGTTTTTCAAGGTGTATGACTGTCAGGCATCGTGGATTTGGCAGGAAATCAGCGGTACCCTGTTTTTGTGAATTAAGCCCGGGACCGACTTGCATCGTTTAGAACGGTGTGTCATTTAAAAATGCATAAACCATGCTCTCACCTTTGCCGCGTAAAATAGCGGGCCTCAGATGGACCTCCAACCTTTTCGGGGACAGGGAGACAAAACGACGGCCACCCATCAGATTTATCAATGGCAGTCGTCGTCGGGCCCGGCCTCTGACATTTTAGGAGTTTGGGAAAACGTCCACTTTTCCCAACACTGGCGGAGGTACTAGTGCTTCCACTCTTCCACCACTGGCAGTAGCAAAGAAAAGGACCCAAAAAACGAAAAATCACGGGACCTGACATCGACATCATGACAGTACAGGCTATGCTTCCACTCTTCCACCAAACTGGTACATCTGCATGCTACCTTCCGGCCGGCCTGTTCACTGTCTTCCACTGAAATCTCAAGATTCTCAATTTCTGGAAAAAAAAAAAAGAGCAAGGCGCAAAGCTTAAAAAACAGCCCCCCCTTAAAAAAACCATCGTATTGAAGCCTCACACCAACGCTACTTGAGTAGTCTTATGCATGGTAAGTACTATAGCATAGCTTTGGGAACCTGGAGCAAGCTTTGGGAAATTGTGTACAATTAGCATATATACCAGTGGGTACTTTGATTCATAATATCGAATGGAATCCAGGCCAAGGTTCCAAATTCGTTCGGCCTGCAGGGACTTCAAAAAAAATTCTATCGGCCGATGGGCAGCTGCCTCCACAAAAACAAAGACAATCTACACTAGCAGTCGATACGCTACTGGATCAATGACTGACGGATGTCAGGGATCAACGACTGACGGATGTCAGGGATCAACGACTGACGGATGTCAGGGATCAACGACTGCGGATGTCAAGGACGGGGACGGCCGCACGTTATCGAAAGCGGAGGAGCACAAGAGTAAGGGCCTCGCCACACCAATGTCGAAAACGGATTTTTCGACATTTTCTCCTCGCCACACAGCATGTCAAAATCCGAGATGCGAAAAAAATTCAGGAGCTGTCAGGGAAAGGGTTTTGACACGTCCTCTCGAGACGGGCTCTTTTCCCAGCCTGCAACTTGGACATTTTCAACAGTCTTCGGATGGGATGTCGAATTCTTGCCGGAATGTCGAAAAAGAGAACGCACCAACCCTTGTTCTATCTTCACCCCAGTTTGTCTCTTTTGTGCATCCGACTCGTGAGTTCTTCACTTGGACATGCGGTGTGGTGAAGTGGTGAAGAGGGGTTTTCTGTCGAAAGAGGGAATGTGGAAAATCTCCTGACATATGTCCAATTTCGTGATGTAATCTCCTGACGTATGTCGAATTTCGTGATGTTTCGACATTGGCGTGGCGAGGCCCTAAACCGGGGGCAAGGTCCCACTTGCGCAAATTAGGAGATTTGGGCCCTTGATCTTTGCTATCTACGGTCGGTGTCTCTTAATTCGTGCAAGTGGGACCTAGCCCCGGACCTAGTCAGTCGTGGCTCCTGTGGCTGTCCCAAATGTGCGTGAAATCACAACCAAGTTTTTTTTGTTAGTGAATCACTCATGGCGAAGGCAAGCCAAAGACGAATGGCTCGCTGGACATTTCTGTCAGAACAACTGAACAGTGTGCACTGCGGCCTATTTCAAGGAAGCCTCAGACCATTGTCAATGAATATGGTCCGTGTACCCGCTCACATGCAGTCGTCTTGACTGCCACAGCCACGGTCAGTGAACCATGGCTGGTCAGTGAGCCATGTTCTTGACATCGGACACCCCGCCTGGAGTACTTTCTTTCCTTTTTTAGCAGTTTTCCTTCATTTGTTTGGTCATGGAATGTTTTTTTGCATTTATTTATTTTCCCTATTTCACGCTGCCACCCACCTGACCCACACCCGTCGCACTAATCCACATATATGGCTACCATCTTCCCCCGAACACAACGCACCCTTATATTTGCTGCACCCTTATATTTGCTGTATCTGGCCGGAAATATCGCTTTTATACATTCATTTTTACGGTGCGTTATGTTCGTGGGGAGACGGTAGTGGGATCTCCCCCCTGGAAGCTCCAGAAAACCCTCGCGCGCATTCAACGACACGTGTACGTCCCTCAAGCTCAATGGTTTTAAACGAGGTCAACCTTTTTTCTCTCAAAATTCGAAATTCATTACATCCCAAGTTCAAATCGGTCTCTTCCCAAACAAAAAAAAAAAAAAAAAAAAAAAAAAAACAAAAAAAAAAAAGTGGTCTCTGTAGGGAATTTAAACGGCTCCCATCGAATTCGATTGGCCCACCCGCTTTGGAAGGTGATAATGATAAAAGATCGTACGAGCAAAAGTCGGAACGATGCTGTACACGAATGACGCATACATACATCGAGAAATCTTCAAACTATTCGTTGGGAGCAACAGCTGCTGGGAAAAACAAAAAAAAAAAACGGGTCCAGGGGTCCAGCGGTGAGCAGTCCACCGGTCCAGCGGTCCAGGTTGGCGTAAGAAGGGTGCGTGTCTTTCTTTTCCTATTTTTTTTCCCCAGGTCGTGGTAGAGGTTGGAACGCGAGAATCTAGACGTGTTTGTCGACACATGCAGAGATTCGAGATTGAACTGTTTTTCTGCATGGGCGAGGTCCCACCAGGAACAAGGATTGGATTGAGCGCCCGAACCTAGACGTGTTCGTCGACACGTGCAGAGATTCGAGATTGAACTGTTTTTCTGCATCTTTGCCTAAAACACGTCCCGGTTCGGGAGCTGAATCCAATCCTCTACGCTTATCGGACTTTGTCCCTGCAGGTCGGCGCATTTTCTCTCGTGAACACGGTTCTGGCTGCTACGGGGTTCCCCGTATGCCTACAATTAATTAGAAGTAGTGGTAGGTAGGTAGTGTGAGGTGAAATTGAAAGAAGAATAGAGCTTTATAATTAAAAAAAAAAAAAAAAAAAAAGGAGCCCCGATTTCATTCCTCTTAGCAAAGAGCATCAGATTGAATGCCCGAATCTGGACGTGTTTGAGGACAGAAGCAGGAAATCGAGATTGAACTGCTTTTCCGTATCTCTGCGTAGAACATAGCCAGATTCAGGATTTCCATCCTATCCCCTTTGCTAGTAGTGGGACCTCTGCCCTGTCCAGTTCGAACAGCCCAGCTGACGGACTCATCCCTTGCAGCCCATGCCACAGCCGAACGATTTGTATAAAACTCGACCCAGGGCACTTGACTTGGCACCGAGATCCGAGTCTATCGTGAGTGCATGTTGCATTCGCAAGCGGCTTTCTTATCTCGCATAAATATTAGCGAGGGGACGAGTTAGGTTGTACGGAGGTTCGCAGTGCACACTTCGAAGCAGCCGTGTGCGTGTCTGTTGTACGTACTTCGTGGTGATAGCGAGAGCTGAGGAGGAGTCGTGGAGGCTGAAGACGATAGAGATGGCGCGTTTGGCGTTGTTCGCGGCCGCGCTTTTGGTGATGGTTGCACTTCCTACGCGTGCACAGCCGACAGAGGTGACCATCAGCTATGTGACCTACCAGGGTTCTGGCTGCAATTACGAGAACACGAACTGGGTCCTGTCGAACGACTACAAGACAGTGACTTTCATGTTCGGCGGGATGGTTGCCACTACTGATGCGGGACTTGCCGGACAGAGGAAGGCTTGCCAGATGTCGTTCAATATGGTCTATCCGGACGGCTGGAGTGTCTCCTTGGGGAAGGCCACGGGGCGCGGGTTCGCCGACATCGCGAAGAAGTCCAAGGGCATCTACGAGTCGCAGTACTACTTCTCCGGGCAAACCGGTACGGCCAGCCTGGCGCGCATCATCCCTGGACCGCAGACCGGCAACTTCGAGTTCACGGACGTCTTCCTGACGAGCGTTTGGAGCCAGTGCAACAACGCTCCCAACCTCAACATCAAGGTGGTGGTGAGAGTGGAGGGCAAGAAGGCGGTCATGGCGCTCGATTCCCAGGACACCAAGTTCCAGATGATCTTCAACCTCCAGTGGAAGAAGTGCTTCTAAGAACCGCACCAACCGACGTCTACGACGTAAGGGTGGGGACCGATAGTATAATGACCGGAAGAATGCGAGGTGTGGGCAGTCATCGTCAAGGATCAATCGTCGTCTCCCGCGATATCTGCTGGCGGCTCCATTTCGGTAGTGATCGGCACACCCGCGTCGGTCGATCTTCTGTTGAGCGAGGATGCATACGGTAGTGATCGGCAGCACCTTCTGTGTAGCAGTGAGTGTAGGAGAACAGAATAAGTCGAAGGAGAGGTCGTTAGCCACGTCGGCAGTGGTAGTGGGTAGAGTCAGCAGTTCGTTTTCGAAGCCTCTCGTGTGTGCTCTGCCAGGCTCTACCCAACCTTTGATTGCACGTACCAGTGGTAATCCTGCACACTCCGTTATCGCCGTGAAATCCACGTGGCCAACGCCTAGAGCTGAGCTGGCTCGACCGGATCAGACAGTGATCGCCTCTTCAAAGCTTTGTGTTCCGTTCTTGGTCTCTCTCGTTACGTTTCCTTCTCCCTCTTGATCTCCTTCTCGACCCACTTGGTTGGTTGCCGATCGCTTCCATCGTATGGTCGACGTAGTGTGCTTCTGCGAGTCAGCTAGGTCTTAGTGAATCGTATCGGAGGGTGGCCTGGTAAGTGGGCTTCTTTCTCCGCACGCAGCGTTCCTTATATCTTCTGATAGCAGGCAGGCAGGCACGTAGTGTAGGAAAGGGCAGCGGGGCCGTTCGGTAACGTCTCTCGTAGTTACTTCCTCTCTGGTCTCTTTGGCGTAGAAAGAAAAGATGGGAACGAAAATTCGTCTGTAGAAATATCTTGGTTGCTTTGGGAAGTTGGCTTGATGTACTGTGATCTCTGCCCGGCGCAGAGATTGGCGATCACAGTCGTTTGCTGTGAGGTTCTCCATTCGAGCGGGAAGTTTTGGAGCCTCTCTTTCTCTGAGATTTCCTGTCGAAGTGTTGCTTTTCAAAACGATGTCACATCGAGATTTCTTGTGAAACTGACTGTGGCGTTGTCATATTGCGATTAGTGGTGCTGAAACTCCTCTTCCCCCTTGTTCCTTCTTTTCCACTCGCCTTTTTGCTTTTATTGTTCGCTCCTTCTCTGTACTCTGATAAGAGTCGCGAAGACTGAAAAGAAAATGAAAAAGAGAAGTGGACAAGACCTCTTTGATTTTCTTCTTTTGTCTGACCTACCTGGAGCACCAGTTTGTCCTGTTTTCTTTTGTTCTTTGAAGTCAAACGTTTCATATTGTATTGTTTTATCATGTGTACTGGATGCATTGGCGGATCGGCCTTTGGTCTATTCAGCGTTGTGTCGATCGTCTTCTTTGTCTGTTCTTACTGTGTTTTACATTTGTCTATTTCGTTGTTTCGGCCTCGCTTGCGTACCGATCTGCAACGAAATGTCAGTCTGAAAAATAAAAAAAGGAGAAGAAAGACGAAAGCTGTGGAGTAACCACCCCCAGGGAAAAAGGAAGGGGAGTGGCGGGGTGAGAAAAGGCTGACCACGGGAAAAACGCAGTGAATGATGCAAAATACTCGTCATAGGTCGTGTGCGCTAGAAAGACGTTGAGATTGGAGACAAACAGAAAAATATCTTCATTCTTCTGTTAGGAATGAATTTTTACGTCCATTGCGATCCGATTCGGTCGACAAAGTGCTGCTGTGTGTAAGGCCGAAGGCGTTCTATAACGCTCAAGGACATTCCGCCTATGCGTCGGTACCTGGTTTTGTAACAGAGGACCCGTAGGCCGTGGAGCCCTTGCCTCAGGCCAGGCCGATGGGACCCCTGTTGCGAAAGCAGGTCTACCGGCAGGTAAATCTGCACAGAAACCTTCGAAAGCGGATGCCGTAAAACGTAGTTTGAAGTCGTGGGAGATGTTTGGAGATGCATGCAGATGCATGGAGATGCAAGAAGACATGACAAATGGCGATGTTGACTATGCTTTATTATTTGATTGCGGGCAGGGGTGGCTGAGATGGGGGGGGGCCGGATCAAATCGTCCTTGAGCGGAAACCTTGCAACAGCCCCGTGCATCGCAGCGGAAGAAGGTATTGCACGATTACTGTCGCCGTCACTTTTTCAGAACCTGTTTTCTCATTATATCTAGTTGCAAACGATTAGGCAGCAGTATGTCGACGAAGGATATGCCGCTTCGCTTGTAACAATAACATGAAGCGGCGCGTGTGAGAGTCAGGCTGTGTGTGTTGTCATGTTCGCTATGCACGACTCCAAGACTCTCTGGTCCGACTGGAACCTCGGCTCATCATCAGGAGGTTGAACACGACAGTCTGCAGAGGATGCATTTGACCGGATAAGGACTCACCACGTCGCCCAGAGTTAGCATAACCACTGAGAAAAGTGGTCGACTCTACTGACGCTAATCCTGCTATCCTAGAACAGTGTGTGGGTGTGGGTGTGTGTGTGTCTGTGCGCGCGTGTGCGTGTGTCTGTGTGCGCGTGTGTGTCAGTAGACTCTCTCTTTCTCTCTCTCTCGCTCGCTCGCTCCCTCTCTCTCTCTCACACACATGCACACACATGCACACACACACACACACACACACACACACACTCACAAGCACGCATGCATGCATGCATGCAGGAACACACGCGCACACGAAAACAAGCACATGCACAAGGTAGAGCGGGTCTTATGTCTGGGACAGTTTAGTTTCTCACAATTACTGCCGTTCTTATCAGGGTTTGGACCCCCAGTCTGTTAGGACTTCTTGTGTGCTGGCAAACACTTGGAACAAGCACTCGGACGCCGTTGCATGTGCTTGGTTGAGGTGCGTCCAGGGGCGTAAGCTATCCCGTCAGATGCAGCTGGGTTTAGTGGAGTCTAGGTTTCCCGGGTCATTAATGAATGTAGATGCCGGCCTTAGGTTGGGTGCCGTGAAATTTGCCAGAAGGGGCTTCACTTTCATCCCATCACCAGTGGCATTTTTCTCACCAATCTTGTTCCGACCAGGCTGTAAGGGCGCACCGTGACCTTCGTCTAACAGAGCAAAGTGGCTGCGGGGGCCGGCCAAGTTTCTCAATTTTGTGGCCAAGTCGTAGCAAGAAAAGATGGCGAGCAGGGGAAACCCGCTTCTTCTGGAAAACGAGGCTTAGAAGCACTCGCCGTTGTTGCAGTTATCGTCCTATTTGTTGCCACTGCAGGTCAAAGGTCTCTGATTCACAGTGAATTACAATCTTGGATATCAGCAAACAATGCCCTGCAGTGCCTGCGCTCCGGGTTCCCTCCTTGTGGAATTTGACGATGTTTTTATTTAGCCGCTTCATCTAACTAACACATTGGTGTTGCACTTGTCCGCCTCAAGTTTTCAGTAGGGGTTGATGCATTCTGTCATTTATGACTTTCCCTTTGACAATCCCCCATCAACTTCATGATCTTTTGGCTCATCCAAGATCCGCCGTGCTCTGGCGCACAATAGCACGGCTAGTATTTGCAAAGAGGTCAGGTTGAATCCCTTCCTTTATTACCTGAAGCACCGATGACAGGAATTGAGGACAGCAGCTGCGAGGCCGCATCTATTTTGTGGTTTCCGAATTCTGCAATTTCCAAACAACTGCAAGAAGTCTGTTTGAGACAAGGGCAATGTCTGTCTGACTCACTTTTAAGGATTTCTCATTAGGCGAGCTCACACGTGAGATGGACTGCGCCGTGGCCATCTCCTCAGATGAACTTCCTTCCATGGGCGGAAGGGGAAGGGAGGTAGGCCTCACGGGAGTGTGTGGCAAAAGGGGCCTACCCATCGGTAAGAGGAAGGCGACCGCAGGAGTGGGTATGTGTGACTTGGCTCGCTCCGGATTTTGCGGGTTCTGCGTGAGACTAAAGTGCCAACCCGCTCGAAGGGGGAGGATCTGGCCCGGGAGGAGCGGGAAAGGAGGGGTTTTAGGAGAACCCTAACCCTAAGGGAAACCCTAAGAAAACCCTAACCAGAGTCTGGGTCGTTAGGGTAGGGAAGTGGCGATCTAATCAAAAGCAACCATGGAGGGGAGGGAGAAAGAAAAATAAGTAAAGTATGGAATTTCGATATAAAAATTAAGGTTGCAAGGAAGGTGAGTGATAGCGAACTTCAGAAATCAAGCAGCATCATACACATAAGACCAGATAGTCGTGACCTCGAACCAACAGCAGAATTGCATCACGAGTTTCACCAAATAAGAACACACCAAGAGCTCATAATTGACAATGCTGGAATAGTATCGTCATCATCATCAACGAAGAACCAATGTTGATATCCTATCTGGCGCTCAGCGCCCAGACTACAGATGGCAGATCCAATCTAGGCTACTCTACAATGCCGCCGGATGATGTCAAGTTGTCAACAGCTTCACCGAAGTATGAGCAGATAGCGGCCAATGACGAATGTAGATGCCGGGCTTTAGGTTGGGTGGGGTGAAATTTGCCAGAAGGGGCTTCACTTTCATACCATCTCACTTTACCCTTTAAACCAGTGGCATTTTTGTCACCCATCTTTTTCCGACCAGGCTGTGCGGGCACCGTGACCTTCGTCTAACAGAGCAAAGTGGCTTGTGTAATGAACCCAAGAGTGGAAGATACTCATCAGACGGCTAAGTAGAAGTAGACTCAGATCTTCACAATGTCTCCAGAGTTATCTAACTAGGTGCTTTGTAGAGGAATTTAATAGGATTCAGCATGATTTCAGCTGTTTCGTAGCTCATTTCAGTCTTTTTCAGCCTTTCCTTTTTCAGCCTTTCTAGTGCTCCAGCCTTTTTCAACATACTCTATTGCAGAAGGCAAAGACACAAATAGGCGCCATGAGGATAGTAGGTGGATGGCAGAGGCTAGGGGATGTGAGGAGACCCCACCGGTGCCCCCGTTCCCCTCCCAATAACCGATCCTGCTGCAGGATAGGTATGGAACAATAGACTGAGTTAGGGACGCTGGACCCGGTTTCCAGCACAATAGCGCCACCTTCAAGATGGATTGTTCTGTAAAGAGGTATTGTGGGATGCTGGACCCCGTTTCCAGCAGGTGTTGCTCCCCACCAATAGATGGAGCGGCCCGCCTGGCAAAGCCTCAATCCCGGTGGTTCTCTTACAACCACCAGGATAGAGGCCTTGTATGGGCCTTAAAAAAAAAAAAAAAAAACAGTAACAGTGAAAGTGATATCTGATACAATATCTTGTTACCATTAGACAAAAAGAGTGGAGGGGGAATAGGCAGATGAGAGGGTGGAGGAGATAATCAGTGACCACAAAAGAGTAGCCCAAATGTCACGCACTCCTCCGGGCTTCCCCTCGCCTCCACGTCATCAATCAATATACAGTAACAAGTCTGACCAGTCCTGATCACACAGAAGTGCCAGGTGGCACTGTCATCCCATGGTGACAATGAAGACAAACAGCAGTGCACTGTATCGACGTCGACCTAAGGTGAGTACCACTTTCCAATCATCCACAGATCCTGATCGCCCTCGTCGCAACAGGTAACCTCATGTAGACAGCGTGGGCAGTGCCACATCAGCAGAAGAGCCAGGTGGTATGCACCACTTCCACAATGAAGACAGATAGCCTGTGCCATATCTGATATGTAGGCAGGTGGTATGCACCACATCAGCAATGTAGACAGATGGCATGTGCCACATCAGCAATGTAGACAGGTGGCATGTGCCATGTAGACAGGTGGCATGTGCCATGTAGACAGGTGGCCTGTGCCACATCAGCACAGGCTGGCGCTTAGCAGAGAAGGCGCCACAGTCCCACGTCACCGTTCACAGTACCAGCGCACGGCCAGCATCAAGCCGGCGTCCAGCCAGCGTGCAGCTAGAGTCAAGCCAGCATCAAGGCGGCATAGCAAAAGACTAAATGATATGACCTCCTGGAGACCAAGCCTTATGTAGTGTTTGACGAGGCAGTCTGGCATCAGGTCTCCTTCCCACAGTCGTACAGATTGACTCACAGCGGAGGGCCTGGATTGTATACAGTTGCAGACTTCCCTTTAGTCCTGATGATGTTTGGTACCTGCATACAAACAAGTGTGTGCGTCTGACGGGCGGCCTGGGCTGGGTCCACTTTGACTTTGACTGTTGCGTGTCAGGCAGTTCACTTCAGTCAATTGTCGCCCGCTCAGGCCCTGAATTTTCTTAGGGTCTTTTCTTCCCTGTGGCCTGGGTCTGAGTGGTGGCCTGGAGAGGCCCTTAGACATTCCACGAGGCATACTTCATGAGTTATTGCATTCCTGTCGTCCGAAATTTTGAGTTCCATCTCAG